CAGAACAATAGATCGTCATGCAGGATGTCCAAGCGGCAAGTGCAGTGAGCTTTGACTCCCTATCGGGGGGCCGAACCACAGCCCGCCCTGTCATTTTCGCCACGGCGCGCCTTGGGCTCAGCATTGCAGCGTCACCGTAACATCCGACGCTGGGCCTCTCGCGCCATCGGAGGTCATCGACTTCTTTGTCCGCGGAAATGCTTGCGTAGAAAGAGGTGGGCCCCGATGTGATGCAGGAGGTAAGTCTTGCCCGCCCACTGCCTGGCGGCCACTGCGCACGTCTCAGGGTCTACGTTTCCGGACCAAAAGAAGTGTAATCGAGCGCGACGCCGACCCACTCACCTCTCGCGAATTGCAGGAGCATGCCGCGGCAGTAGCCGCCGCGTTTCTCGAGGAGCTTCAGGTTTGAGTGGGCCACGACTGCTTCTCGCGGCGAGCGCCGATCCTCGAGGTTTTGAGGACATCGGCGCCGACCGCGTCGCCGCCCCCGCCAGCGCCTCGCGACTCGCATTGATGTTCGCCGGCGCCGTTGCAATTCTTCGCAAAACCAAAGGGTTCGAGAATTTCGATCAAGCATTTGACGTCTTTCACCGGGAGATACCAGGCAGCGTCTGCAAGGGTGCGCCGAAAAGCTGGCCCATCCAACTTGCAGAAGCCACCAGCGGCGCGTGCCAGGCCGTCCCCGCGGTCGACAACTACGAGTTCATTTCAAAACGCCATAACGGCGAATTCTGTCTCTTAGCGACCAAGCGCGTTGACGACATCCATGTGCGGGGACTCCGGTAGAGAATTTTAAGCATTGTCAGTGTTTGGAAGAAGCCTTCGGTCAGAGTGAGCTGGATATATTTGAAGGAACTTTCATGCTGTGGGTCACGACGTTCGCCTTCCAGTAATGGTGATTTCAAAATCGATCAGCTCGACTGTGTGCAAGCACTCACGCCCATCGTATGTGCTGTGCTCGTTTTGGGCCATCCAACTCGGAGCTTTCAGTCGATGGCCTGGCCAATCTGTTGTTCAGCTTGCTCATGGCATTGACGTTCGCACCCGTCACGAACATGGACCTTTCTGTCTACGTTGTCGCGCTGCAGCGCCACGCGGCGTCGCCCGCGCGCGGCCGCATCTGGAACCTCGACGCTTTGGTCGGATGGGTGCAAGCGAGCCCATTGACGATTCAGGATCCACTACCCAGCCATGAAGTGTGCATTTTGGTTGGAAATCCATTCCGACGCGGCGTTCCGCAAAGGACCTCAGGAAGGTGCATGTGCGTGCGCGCCCTGCGCGGTGCAGTCTTCTAACGCATGGGCGCCGCATCCGTGTCCAGAACGCCTGCGTCCTTGACTGGTGCACGTTCTTGCCATCTCCTAGATTGGCCATGTGGCACTTTCAAGACGGCGACAAGAAGCATCTTCGCGAGCGAGCTGATGGCCGCGACTGTGGTTGACAAGACTTCGTCGAGTACGCGTGCGGTTACCATTTTCTGATCAATATCACCGTTCCTTCTTCCCCCTCGCCGCAAGCAGCGGCCCAGGGGCCATTCGCGCGCCGCGGCGGTGGAACTCTGCGGCCCCATGGGCCGAAGGGCTGGCCGTAGCCCGCCCATGTCTGCAAGTGCGCGCAGGCGTGATGCGGCAGTGCTGCGACGACGAGGCGGCCAGCTTCAGCGCCGGGAAGCTGGGTGCGCGTCAGGTGCAATGCTCGGCGGATGTAGCCGCTTGGCTGCTGCACCTCGTCTTTGCCCTCGTGCTGGCGGGCTGGGAAGTGCCGCGGGGCAGACCCTGCCCCCCGCTGCGCGCGGGGGCCCCAGTGCCGCGGGGTAGCGCGCGCTCGGTCATCGAAGGGCCGGGCGCGGGGCAGGAGAGAGAGGTGAAATGCATGGGGCTTCTGCGCCCGATGGGGCCCAGGCCAGCATCCCTTCGGAAGGGGAAAGGGTGGCGAGGCCCTGTCTGCTGGAGACTCGCGAGAAACCCGGTGTCAACAGCTGCGTGAACAGTCGCAGTGGCTTGGCCCGTTGGATTCGTCAGTCCGCGCGCACGTGCTAAGGTTGCTGTCTGGGGTTAGGCGCTGCGACGGCCTGTCGTGGTCGGGGTTTGCACGCTGCCCCAGCCGAACTAATGGAAGTAGAACCGTCTCTGTCCACCTTGGGCAGCACGGGGGCTACGACGCCTGATCTGGTGCCGCGCCCGGTCCCCTATTTTGGAGATTCCTACTTCCTGTCCGCGTGGTCGGGCCCGCGCGTATCGGGCCCCGAGTGTCTTGCCCTTCGACCTGCAGCCCGGAGGGGCAGCTGCGCCGTCCCCTTGCGCAAGGAGGGCCCGCTTGAAGAGGGGGATTCCTTTCGGCTCATCATGGTGGCGTCGCTCATGGGCCTTCTGTAGGAAGCGCTGGTCCACGGGTGGCTCGACCAGCATCTGCGCGCGCCCATTTTGCCATGCCGGAGCGGGTGTGTCCGCGATGTGTGCGACGCGCACATCGTCGTCCGCGAACTCGCTGCAGGGGCAGAGGGAGCAGGTCGCCCCTTTGTGGGTGGTCTTCGGGGACCTCTAGAAGGTTTTCCCCGCGCCCAGAGGGAGGTGCTCCTCCTGCGCCTCTGCGAGAACGCTGGCGTGTGCGACGGCATGTTCTCGCTCCTGGCGAGCATGATGGCCTCGGGCCTCGGGCGCCATTCGCGGCATCTTCAATGGCGTGGCCACTGTTCTCATTGACAAGGGGATTGCGGAAGGTTGGGCGTTGAGGCCGCTGGCGTTCCCCGTCCGCGTGGGCTCCATCCCCGTGGCCTCGCACGAGGCAGGTGGTGGGGTCGGCGTTGGCGCGCGCGCCCCGCGCTTCTGGGCCGGGCGCTGGCGGCAGGGCCCGGGCGCCCCCGACTCAGGCCTGACTGCCGCGCTCGCCAGAGCACTCCGCGAGGGAATGCTGCTCCCGTCTGCTGCCGAGTTAGCGGGCGACCTCGTGCTGGGGGCCTCCTCGCCTGCCGCGCCGCTGCGCTTGGTGGCCATTCTGCGCGCCGACGACCAGGGGAGGGGCCCAACTGGCACAGAGCATTCTTGCCGACTGGGTATTCGCGCGCGAGGCTTCCCCGCGCGCCGAGCCCTCCAGGCGCGCCGTCGTCGTCCATTGGTGTTTGGGGGGCAGAGTGGCAGGCGTGGCAGCCACTCCCGTCGCCCTGCTGCTCCAGGGAGGGACGCCCGTTCTGTTCGAGTTCAAAGATGCGCGCCAGTGGCTCGGGCTTCTGTGGGCTGGGGACCTCGACCTCTCGAGGCTTATGGATGCAAAGATCGGGGCCGCGTTGGTGCAGTGCGCTTCCCTCGCGGGGCATGTTGCTGCTGGAGTCCTGTCGCTCGCTGTGGAAGCCCGCGTCTTCCAGGTTCAGGTCGAAGGCGCGCTGCGCATCGGGCGCTGCCCGCGGGTGGTGGAGGGTGGCGCGCCGGGCGAGCCAGGGCAGAGATGTGGGGCGTGGGGCGCGCGCCCCCTTGGGCGGTCCTCCTTGGCGAGGGTCGACCCTGGCCTGCTCGGAGCTGTGCGGGTTGATCTTGGGGCCGGTCAGGGCCGGGTATGAGGTTGCCTCCTCGCGCGCTGGCTTGTGGCGGGTTCCAGCTGAGGACCTCTGCAGGCGCGTGTTCGTGCGCGCGCGCGGGTCAGGAGGGCGTGCTCGGGCACTGCTTTCGCTGGCCCTCCAAAGTGCGCGGTCCAATCCTGATTGGCCAGCCATGGGGCGCCCGCCAAGGGTTGTTTCTGCCTCAATGCAAGGTGCATGCGCGGGCCCTCCTAGGGAGGCCTGGTGCGAGCAAGGGCTCGGGCGTCAGGCAGTTGGGCTGTCGAGGCCGCTTCCAGTTCCCGCTCTCGGCTCAATCCCCCGGCCAGAGACGGCCGAGGCCTTCGAGCGTTGGCTCCCTTCGACGTCTTGCTGGGCCACCGCTCGCTGCGCAGGCGTCGTCGGCGGCTGGTCGCGCGCAGTCGCTCCTCGATCTGGCTAGGTCCTCCGCGCGGAGACGCGCGTGCGTTCTTTAGGGGGAGCAGCTACTGAGTCCTACCTTTCATGTTCTTGGGAGTTGCAGCCGCGCGGAGGGCTGCAGCAGCGCCTGCTGGGAGGTCTGCGGCGGCTTGGTTCCGTCCTCTGGGGAGGCGGCGGCCGCGGCGATGCTGTCGGCTGCTCCGGCGGTCGCCGGGTGCAACGAGGTGGCGCGTCTGGCGCTCCGCGTGGAGAAGGAGACGGATCGTTTCTGGGCGGCCGCGGGCAGTGACAATCCCGCGTTCACCTCACCTCCCCTCCCTCCCTTCCTCCCCCCCTGCCGCCCGGCGATCCGTCGGGTCGGCTGGGTCGGGCTGGGCGGGTCTCCCCTTTGCGGCTTGTCTTCCCGTCTTCCCCTTTCGGGTGGCTTCCTCTTCCGTTTCTCTGTCGCCGTCCCGTACCTGCGGGGTGCGACGACCTGGCGGCGTAGCGGGGATCGGACGAGCCCTAGGCAGGGCTCCCTGCTTGGCCCCCCCCCTCCTACACCGCGGCGAGTCTCTGAGTTGCCCCTCCTGCTTCGCTCTGGCCAGGGTCTCGAGGAGGAGCCTGCTTGAGGAATTGATTTTTCGCGGGGTTCGAGAGGATTTGTCTTGGTTTGGAACTGGACCCCTCTGGCGGTTCCGTTTGCGCCGCCCCTTGTTAGTTTCGCACGCCATGTGTGGGGTCCCGGCTCCGATCCACGAAATCCGCGCAGTCCTCCGAGAGAGCTCAGCTGTGCAGGCCCTCCCTCTCTTCCCCTCCAGCTCTGGTTGCCGGACTTCCACAGCCGTCGCAGCAAGGTCGCTTCCGAACCTTCCCCGAGGTCGTGGCCCCTTGCTAGAACGAGTGTCCGTTCGAAACTTCCGCATGCCAGCTCAGTGGGAGCACGCCTACCTGCCTCCCTCCCTCCTTCCCTCCTCCCGCCTTAACTTACCTACCTGCCTACCTACCTACCTACCTACCTCCTCTGCTCCACCTGTCCTCCTTTCTCCCCTTCGCCGCCTCTCCCTCGCAGGCGCCAGAGTCCAGCCGCGGGGGGACGGGCAGCACGTCCCGCAAGGCACCGCCGCCGCGAGGGGGGAAGGGCGCCGGTTTCCGACCATCAGCCCGTTCAGCCCGACCTCCACAGCGACCGCCACGCCCGGCAGCGTGACCGCCACGTCCGCCCGGCCACCGCGACTCCCACGTGCGCCGCACCACGCCTGCTTGCGTGATTGCCCCGACCGATTTCGCCATCTCCTGCCCCTGCCACTGCCAGTCCGCCCGTGCGAGCACTAAAGTTCATAAGCGCCATTCAACGGTAGAGTGCCACGGGCCCAGTCCCCCACGAGGTCTGGTAGGTGTTAGGGGCCCGGGTCCATAACCCCAACGCCCTGGGGTCCCCTTTGGTGACGGGGGTGGGGGCCCCTTCGTGTGCCCCCAAACCTTTTAAGGCAGTGGGAGGACGAGGAGGACGATGAGGAGGGGATGCTGATCATGATGATGATGATGATGATGATGATGCTGATGATGATGAGGAGGATGAAGAGGAGGAACAGGAGGAGGAGGAGGAGGAGGAGGAGGAGGAGGAGGAGGAGGAGGAGGAGGAGGAGAGGGGGAAAAGGATGAGGAAGAGGGGAGGAGGAGGAAAAAGAGGAAGATGAGGAATAATATAAATAATAACAAGTAAGAGGAGGATGAGGAGTCATAATAATAATAATAAGGGAATTATTCATAACACGAAACATACGAATCACAATAATGATAATTAACGAGTTCATCATAGTCACACGAGCAAGAGGAATACGAAGGAGGGATATTTTGAATAACATGGAACATGATAGTACGAACACGAAGTACAACATTACGTAAACGCCATAATATTAATAACCGTACTAGCAACGCGTATAACATATACACATATTATCATGATTACACCAGTATGAAGCAACCTAATAACAATAAACATATATCTGGGAATAATACGAATCATACGACAACTAATAAAACACATACGCAGCACAATCGTACGAATCATACAGCTACGAGGAACACTCGGAATATCAATATAGTAGTAATGACATTGCGAATGAGAAAGATTGCGACTATTAATTCAACTCAGAGTGATCGTATTAATGTTGTTACGACTGCGAATCTGTATGGTAATACAGGATGTTAATAATAATAAGATGGATGCTATTGATCACGCAACTAATAATACTGCCACGATTAAGGCAGTCATAATGATCATAGGCAGTCATACTAATACTACGGATAACATATTGATCATTGGCAGTCATAATAATATTAACAACGCTGGTATTTATCAGGGTGATAAGAAGAATACCGCCAGCAAGCATACTAGTACGACTAAATGATGTAGTCATAATCCGAATGCTACCAATAATGAGGATACTACTACGAACACTAGTTGAAACACAAAGAAGATGAGTACTACCGTCACGGGGAAATGACAAACATACTCCGACTGATACGGCTATTTCTGATATTAAGAAGAAGCGTGCGAATAATAATACGAATAACAGTCACGATACTGCTACGAATAATACGAACACTAAAACTATGGGTGCTACTAATGATAACACTAATCCAGGCGGGAAGCGGGAAGAGGGAGGCGGGAGAATGAATGAGAGAGGTTGTGATTGGAGCCCCCGTGCTACGAAACGTCTCAGGCAGAACGGGCCAGACCATCTCGCGCGCAACATCTTCGAGCTTCGCATTGTGAGGATGGCTCAAGCGAAACGGGCCGGACCACCTCGTGAGCGACATCTTGGAGCTCAGTATTGGAAGGATGTCTCAAATGAAACGGGCCGGACAACCTCTCGCATTCGTTCTGACAAGTCCACGTCACACTCGCTTCCCGTTAGGTCCTCCTGCATTTCCCTTCCTTCTCCCTCCTCCTCCTCCTCCTCCTCCTCCTCCTCCCCCTCCTCCTGCCTGCTCCCTCATCCACATCCTCCTCCTCCTCCTTCTCCCTTCCATCTCCTCCTCCTCCTCCTCCTTCTCCTCCACCTCCTCTTCATCCTGAACGGCATCTCGGAGCCCAGAGTTGCGAGGATGTCCCCAGCGTAACGGGCTGGACCACCTCGCGCGCGGCATCTCGGTCCCCAGAGTTGCGACAATGTCTCGGGCAAAACGTGCTGCGAGTCTCAGGCGAAACGGGCAGGACCACCTCGAGCGCGGAATCTCAGATCTCCGAGTTGCGGGGGCCTCCTGGGGCGTCCTGGGGCTTCCTGGGAACCTCCTGGGGCTTCTTCCCGGGCCTCCTGTGGCCTCTTGGACCCCACCTGGGGCTTCCTGAAGCCTCTTGGGGCTCCCAGGGGGCGATATCTAACATGTGGCCGTCTGGGCTCCCCAAAATGAGGGGGGGGGGGCCACAAGAGCGGGAAAAATCAACGAATCGACACCGGATGCGTATTAATTTGACACGTTCTGATAGGGGGCCTCCTGGGGCCTCCTGGGGCCTCCTGGGGGCCTCTTGGGAATCGATCTCCTGGGGACCCCTGGGGCCTGGTCGTCCTGCGGCCTCCTGAAGCTCCCTGGGGCCTCCTGGGGCTCCCAGGGTCCCAGGGTGGATCTGTAACATGTGGTCTTCTGGGCCCCCAGGCTGGACCACCTCTTGCGCGGCATCTGGGAGCGCAGAGCTCAGAGTTTCGAGGATGTCCCAGGCGAGACGGGCTGGACCACCTCGCGCAGGGCATTTCAAAGCTCAGAGTTGCGAGGATGTCTCAGGCGAAACGGGCTGGACCACGTCGCGCGCGGCATCTCCGAAGTTAGAGTTGCGAGGATGCCTAAAGCGAAATGGGCTGGACAACCTCTTGCGCGGCAGCTCAGAGCTCAGAGTTTCGAGGATGTCTCAGGCGAAACGGGCTGGACCACCGCGCGCGCGGCATCCTCAGAGCTCAGAATTTCGAGGACGTCTCAGACGAAACGGGCCGGACCACCTCTCGCGCGGCATCTCGGAATGCAAAAGTGCAAGGATGTCTCAAGTGAAACGGGCCAGACCACCTCTTGGGCGGCATCTCGGGGCTCAGAATTTGGAGGAAGTCTCAAGCGAAACGGGCGGGACCACCTCTCGCGCGGCATCAGAGAGCGCAGAGTTGCAAGGATGTCTCAAACAAAACGGGCCGAGCCACCTCGCGCACGACATATCAGGGCTCAGAGTTTGGAAGATGTCTCAGGCGAAACGGGCCGGACCACCTCTTGCGCGGCATCTCGGAGCCCAGAGTTTCGAGGAAGTCTCAGGCGAAATGGGCTGGACCACCTCTTCCTCGGCATCTCAGAACTCAGAGTTGCGAGGATGTCTCAGGCGAATCGCGCCAGACCCACCTTGCGCACGGCATCGGCATCTCAGAGCTCAAAGTTTGGAGGATGTCTCAGGCGATAGGCGATACGGGCGGGACCACCTCTCGCGCGGCATCTGGGGGCTCAGAATTTGGAGGATGTCTCAAGCGAAACGGGCCGGACCACCTCTCGCGCGGCATTTGGGAGCTCAGAGTTTCGAGGATGTCTCAGGCGAAACGGCCCGGACCACCAAATTTTTTTGAGGACGTCTTTGCTTTGAATTCCCTCGGCCGGAGTTAGCTTCTATCACAGAAAGTGCGCCACTGGATCTCCCTGAATACACTAGGGGGGGGGGTCTGGACCCCCCCCCCCTTCCCTCCTTAAAGGGGGGGGGGTCCCGGAACCCCCCCCGCCCCCTCCCTTGGAGGGGGGGGGGTCCGGACCCCCGCCCCCTCCCCCCTTTGGCGCTGGAAACGGGTGGGTGGGTAGTGAGTAGTGAGTCGTGAGTAGTGAGTAGGGGGTAGTGAGAAGTGAGTAGCGAATAGCGAGTAGTCAGTAGTGGGTAGTGAGTAATGAGTAGTGAGTGCTCTCTGGGGCTGGGGTTAGTGGTTGGGGTTAGGGTTAGGGGCTTGGGTTAGGGTGAGGACTAGGGGTAGGGGTGGCGGGGGTCGGGTTCCGGAGTTAGGGGGCGGCGTGGCGAAAGGGGGGGGGGTGCGGCCAAAGGGGGGGAGGGGGGGGGTTCGGACCCCCCCCCCCGAAATCAATTGCTCGTGTAGTCCATCAGGTCGTTTTGTCCCAGCCATCTTTTTATAACTTTCAAGCTAGGCGTGGTATTTGGTCGTCCCAAAAGGGAACCGCCATGGGGTATGACACTGGCCCTTTCGCGCCCCGATTGTGTGGACGTCTGGGGTACAATGGCCATTTTGGGAGTGCAGACGCGCTCTTATGCAGAGCCACGTGATCATCGCGATGTAGCAGGCATGGTACTTGGGTCTCCGAAAAGGGAGTCGCCCTGGGGTCTCGAGTAGAGTTTCTCTTGTGGGTGGGTGGGGGTGCTGTGCGTGTCTCTTTTCAGAGCCCGAAAGGTCATCGTGATGTAACGCGCATGGCATTTGGGTATCCTTGATTGGAGCTGCCAAGGGGTATCGACTGGCCCGTTCTCGCCCAGATGGTGGGACATCTCAAGCACAATCGCCGTTTGGTCGGCTCAATGGACGGGTCTTCTTCCAAGGCCCCATGGCCGCCGCGACGTAGGAGGCATGGTATTTTGGCATCCGGAAAGAGAAGCTGCCAGGGAGGCCTAGTCATACCCAGACCCATGTACAGCCCGACCCACTCGTACTCAATCGCCCAGCCTCGCTCACACCCAGGCACTCTTGGAGAGGGAGATCGCCACAGAAGAGAGCACATATGGGGATCTCCGCGTCGACTGCCTTTGCCACCCCGTGGCCACTGGGGGAAGAGGACGACAGGAGGAGGAGGAGGAAGAGGGCGGAGGAGGGAGGAGGAAGGAAGCAGGAGGGAGGAAGGAGGAGGAAACAGGGACGAGGGAGGAGGAAGAGGACAAGGAAGAGGACCTGTGCCACCCCAAGACTCATCAACGATGTTGGAAGAAACCCTCTTTCCTGCTCCCATAGGCCCCTACATGAATTCAGTTCCACTGAGGGCAGTGCCCCGTTGGGAGACAACCGTTTGAAGATCCTGAAACCTGCAAAGACACCATTCTCGGACCTCTTAACACCACAAATCAACCTGACTGCTGCGTGTTGAAGATCCTGAATCGTGTCAGAACACCGTTCCTGGGACTTCACGACCGCGAATCAAGTTGCGCCCTGACAATCTGGAATCCTTCAACATGCCGTTTTTGGTACGTTAGCCATGGGAATCCGTGAAACTCGGGTGGCAATTTTTTTAAGACGAGTGTTCGCGGCGCTGAGGCGGGAGCCGCATTTCGAAAACCACCCGTCCTAAAGCCGTGAAGGTCTTGCAATCTTTTAAGACGAGTGTGCGCGGCGTTGAGGCGAGAGCCACCGTTTGAAGCCACGCGCCCTCAATCCGTGAAGCTCTTGCAAACGTTTGAGACGAGTGTGCGCGGCGCTAAGGCGAGAGCCACATTTGGACCCCCCCCCTCATTCCGTGAAACGCTTGGAAATTGTTAAGGCGAGTGTGCGCGGCGCTAAGGCGAGAGCCACATTTTGAAAACCACCCACCTTCCATTTGTGAGGCTGTTGTTTGTTTTATAGGCTTCATGATCATACGGTGAGGAACTCTCAGGCGAAACGCCTGGCCCGCCTATCCGACTGGCCTCGGGCTGCGACAGGGAGGAGTTACTTAGAAGGAAAAGGAATGGAGGAGGAGGAGGAGGAGGAGGAGGAGGAGGAGGAGGAGGAGGAGGAGGGGGAGGCAGAGGAGTGGGTGTAGTAGGATGATGATGATGATGATGATGATGATGATGATGATGATGATGATGATGATGATGATGATGATGATGATGATGATGATGACGATGACGATGACGATGACGATGACGATGACGATGACGATGATGATGATGATGATGATGATGATGATGATGATGATGATGATGATGATGATGATGATGATGAGGATGAGGATGAGGATGAGGATGAGGATGATGATGAGGATGAGGATGAGGATGAGGATGAGGATGAGGATGAGGATGAGGATGATGAGGAGGAAGAGTAAGGAGGGACGAGGTAGAAAGGAGGAGGGATGAGGAGGGAGAAGGGACGAGGGAGGGAGGAGGACGGGAGGGACCACGAGGGAGGAGTGAGGAGGTAGGAGGGGGAGGGGAGAGGAGGGACGAGTAGGGATGAGGAGGGACAAGGAGGGAGGAGGGATGAGGTAGGAGGGAGGAGTGGCGCGACGGGCACAGCATGGTCCGAGGCCGACATCCTGTCCCTGGAGGTGCCGCGGTCCGAGCTGGGCACCGGCCGGAGCTTTCGCACTGGCCGAAGCTCCGCAAGCAACCGCCTGAGCACGGCGGGCTCGCTGGTGTCGGCTCCTCGGGTCCAAGACGGCCCAGCACGGCCTCATCCGGCCTCCTCCTCCTCAATTTCCTCCTCCTCCCTGCCTCCGCCCTCCCTCTACTCCTCCTGCCCTCCTCCCTCGCCTACCTCCTCTTCTCCCCTCTTGGGCCCAGTTCCGCCACGGCCCCCGTCGGTGGATAGAGAACAAGTCAGCGCAATGGGAAGGGACGGGGTGAGGTGGGCAGGGTGTCAGCTATGGCGCGAGCACGCCTAGCTTGCCCCCTCAATCTCTCTCCTTTCCTCCGTCTCCTCCGTCTCCCTCTTCGTCCTCCTCGCCCTCGCCTCGTCTCTTCAGTGCTGTTTTTCTATTCGCTTCTCTCCTCTTCTCTTCGCCCCAGGCAGAGGGGGCGGGAGGAACGCTCGCCCAAATGTGGCCCCCAGATACGGTGTCGGGTGCTGGAGCAATTGCCCCAGCACGTGCCCTGTCCTCCTCTCCCGATCCCTCTTTCTTCTTTCGGGCGGGGCTAGGTCCTGGGTGGAGGGGGAAAATCGTTCCAGAGCGTCCAGGAACGCTCTCAGAGCCGTTTGGAGTGCCCTGGAACGGCTGGACGCCCGATACATCCTCCAGATCTGCCAGATCTCAGAGATCCCCGATTTGGCCCTTGTCCGATTTTGCCCCTGTCCTGGCTTCGTCGTCCTCCTCTCCTCCCTCCCCTCCTTCCTTTTCGGCCCCAACGGGAGATGCCTCTTGGAAAGGAGCATCAACGAGGGTGAGAGTCCCATCGACATCTCTAGACCCTGGTGCACGGCATACCTTCTAAGAGTCGCGTTCATCGGAACTGTAGCGTGAATTCGGTGTGTGTATATATATATATATATATATATATCGATTCGAGACCGACAGCAAACCCGCACCCTTTTCTCCTCCTTCCGCCCCCCTCTGGGAGGCTCCTCGGTCCCAGACGACCTCGTACCTCTCGCACGAGCTCAAGATAGAGCGGCAGCAGCGCGAGGCGGCCGAGGCGGAGGTCGCCGCGCTGCGCAGGCAGCTCCACGACAGCATGGCCAAGTCAAAGACTGACCGCTCGTGATCGTTTGTGGCGTCCTGCATGGAGCTCGCCATGAAGGACACCCAGACATGCTCGCGTCGCGACGAAAGTCACGACGGGAGCTCTTTTGGTCGTCTTCGGCCGCCCGGAGCCCTCGCCGGGCCCTGGGACCGTCGAAAGACGACTCGGGGTGAAAAACCGGTCCCGGGGCAAGTGTCGGGACTTTGATTCAGGGAACCGCGGAATGGGTCGCCAGACACAGGACACGAGTGCGCCCTCGCCACTGTCTACGAGAGGGCTCTGCCTTCTTATCAGCACCACTGCTGCTAGCGGCAGGTCCTGCGGCGAGTCTCCGGGGCGCTGGCCCTGCGTCGGCGGCTCGGACGGAAAAGCCCGGGGAACCGCGCATTGACAAAATCAGGACGTAGCGCGTACGGGAAGGGGCCCCATAGGTTGGAGCCGACTGGTCAGTTTCGACCGGGTGGGGTCTGGGGATCGGTTTCGAGAGGGTTTGCCTTCGTCGGCGACTTGGATCCGTCGCGTGATGCGAATCGGATGAGGAGCAGGAGGAGGGGGAGACACAGAGGAGGAAGAGGAGGGGGGTTCGGCAGTGCGCCTGCATTTCACCTTTCTTCGCCTAGTGCGTTTTGCGCACGCGACTTGCGGTGTTACCCCGCCTTCTGATTCTGATTCTGAACATACAAACGTCCCCGCGGAGTTCTCGGATCGGCGCTGGACCCCCCTCCCTGGCGCGCGGAGCGCGCCAGGGGTGGCGCCGGAGGCGCCGCCGGAGAGGTCCAGCGCCAAACCCGAGAAATCCGCGCGGACCTCCGAGTTTTTACGTTTATGTCATTCTTCGTTCCCCTAGAAGCGGTGGCCCGTCTCCCCGAGGACCCCACACCTCCATGCCAAGGAACCCAGGCGCTGAAGCCTGAGCGGCGCCCCTGTCTCACCTTTTTCACTGGCCTTCGAACCGCGGCCGCTCGCCTGGCCGCCGCTGAGGAAAAAGGGAGCTTGTCACAATCTGCATGCTCGGGGGGCCTTGCCTGTCCAGCAACATGGCAGCCTTCTCTCGCGGCAACGCCGCGGGTGCGACGCGGGCTCGACGCGGTTTCGACGCGGATAGCGGCTCCGAGGCGGGGAGGATTGATTTTCTGGGACATGGGCAGGCGGTGGATATGGATATCCAATTGCCTGCGGTAAACCTTGCCGCCATGCCTGTGCAACAGCTCAGCTCGAAGGAGGTTGAGTGTAGGAACAGCGCAATTCCGACGACCGGTCTGAACTGGGATGGGTCGTGAAGTCGACCTCGTCTTTGTCTGCACGCCCTACGGCAATTCAGCGTGTAGCTTGAATTGGGCGCGGTAAGGAGGAGGAGGAGGAGGAAGAGGAGGAGGAGGAGGAGGAAGAGGAGGAGGAGAAGGAAGAGGAGGAGGAGAAGGAAGAGGAGGAGGAAGAAGAGGAGGAAGAGGAGGAGGAGGAGGAGGAGGAGGCGAGGAGGAGGAGGAGGATGAGGAGAAATAGAATTAGCTGCAAGACGATGTCTAAGCGAAACAGGTAACACCCACTGATCACCACGTGGACCGCCAGGACCAGGGAGAACTTCGCCACGAAGTGGTAGTGAACCTCAAACCCTTCGCCAATAGTGCACGTGCTCAGATCCCTCGGACGGCCTGCAAGGCAAGTGTTCGTCGCTTCGCGTATCCCTACCAGCCCATCCCAAAACAGTCAACAGACAAGCGAGTTGTCCCGATCATGGATGTGTATCAGCATGCGGCCCAGCAGTGAACCGCAGCCATCTTGGCGGATTTTCGCAGGAGGGAATATGAGTAGGACTATGAGTAGGAGGAGGCGAAAGAGGAAGAGGAGGAGTAGGAGGAGGAGGAAGCGGAGCAGGAAATTCTAGGGATGATCATGAAGAGAAGCATGCGGAAAAGGAGGAGGAGGAAGAGGAGGAGGAGGAGGAGGAGGAAGAGGAGGAGGAAGAGGAGGAGGAGGAGGAGGAGGAGGAGGAGGAGGAGGAGCAGGAGGAAAACAAGGAGGAAGACCGGCAGGAGGAAACATGACATGCTCTTGGCGATCCCCTGGGCCCCTCTGGAGACCCTCTTGTTTTTTTTGGGCCTTTCTTGGGGGACTTGAGGGCCCTCTTGGGGCCATCTTGGAAGCTATCGGTCAAAATGGGGTCCTAAGTACGCCCCCCCGTCGGAGACCTCAAACCAGTCTCTTGGGGCCCTGTTGGGGCGCTCTTGGGGCGGGGCTGGTCACCGTTGTGGCCCCTCTTGGGCCATCTTGGGCCACCTTGGAGCCATCCAGAGGCCTCCAGAGCCCATCGGAAGCGATCTAACGAGAGAGCGACCGTCCTGGGGCGGTCTAGAAGCCTGTTGGAGAAATGTTGGTAGCTATCTTGAACCAGCTTAGGATATCTTGAGCGATCTTGGAAGCCATCTTGGGATCCCCGTGGTCCTCTTGAAACAATGTTTTGCCATCCTGGACGCTCCAACCCCTCGCAAAACACCACCTCCAGTCCAAGGGGGGAACCCCCTCCTCGAAGGGGAAGAAGGGGGTTTGGCATACCGAGCTCCTGAGACCACTCACGCTCAGATGGCTGGTGGGATTTCTTCACCTATGTTGCTGCTCGGGTTCCTCAGGTCAGGAGGGCGCCCACGTACAATGAACCCATGCTCTGTGCATGCTAACACCAGCTGAACACAGTGAAACAATTGCTACGTTTTCGATGCTGAACACTCCATATCCAGCCAAAAACCTTCATGGATTCTAAAGTGAGCTGGGACAAGGGCGAGAGATAGCGAGCGTTTGTCCGCGGCCGTTTGTGTTCAAGCTGCCGGCCGCCAACATATGATTGTGCCTCATTGCGAGGCATACTATTCGCCATCGAGGCCCAAACCATCCATCGCTTGAGATGGCCCGTCGCTCCCGCGACGACCTCCTACGACTGGAACTATCGCTATTACGATACAGCGGAGCAGGAGCTGTGCTTCGCCTAAGGCGCAGCTTCTGGACGAGCCTACCGGCCCCCCTTCAAACTTGGTAGCGAAACTGGCCTATAGTTGTCAGCTCTTGGTCTACTCCTCACCATCCACGGCACTATTTGGTGGATTACTGACATGATGGAACATCAGGGTGCAGGGGTTCTGCGCGCAGGAATGTACAAGCACGCACAACCGCCAGGACACTTGCAGTGCTACCTCTGTTCTCGCAGAGGCCTCTTTCTCAAGTCCTACATCCCTGCGCTACTACACTCCTAAAGTCCACCCACTTATCCCGACTGGAATTTTTTTTCGAAGATGCCATGCATGGCAACATGCGATAAAATATTGTGCCGCCTCCACGCGCACGCAGGCTTACAACAAAACGCCACACACCTCAGCCAACCACGTCCGACCACGACCGACGGGGCCACTGGATTGGTGTTTCTATGTTTGGTTTCATATTGGTTGCTACTGAATATGCTGTAAACACACATGCGTGGCGGGGACGACACAAGGACAACCGGCCCCCACTGGGACCCGGCCGGTCAAGTACCTTTCCGCGAATTCGTTCGAGAGGTACACGCCTGAATCAACGTTGCCACTGGCAATATGACGCCCTCCCATCAAGCTGCAGCGTTGCAGTGTGGTCTGGGAGGCCTCGCGCGGATCATAGCCATGAGAGTTCCTTGAGCAGTCATCAACTTTGGCGTCAACATAGGTGACCGCCATACTGATGGTGTCACCTACATTTTGTTCCTCCTCAGCAAGAAGTTTGGGAACTTAGAGGAGGGACGCCAACTTAACTCGGGTACTGCTCTCATCGACTTCCGAGTCCATGCGGGGGAACGGATCGACTAGACATTGGCGCGCTTCGACATTGCCCGCTATGAGGTTGAAACGGCAGGCTTTAACATCGCCAACTTCCAAATCTTAGCGGCGATTCTGTTCAGAACCTTAGGCGTGGGGACGTCGCGTGCACAACAACTTCTACAGCCACCCAACCGCCAAATGCCGAGGAATCAGCAGCAATTTGACTCTCTGCTTGAACGCACGAGGTCATATGCTCACATCGCTGAGCGAACCCCTGGCAATATTGGTGGTATCTTCAGCCACGGTCACCGTGCCGAAATCTTTTTCATGCTGAAGCCAATGCAGGGCAACCTGCTACAAACGTCTGGAATGACGATCCGCGACCAATGGATACCACCACGCTATTCGCTCAAAATGGTGGTCCGGCTACGGGGTCGCAAGACTCCTGGGCCAGATATCATGGGCCGCTGGCAACGGCGGCCCCGGCACCAGCCGCTACCCTTGTAGGCTCAACGGGGCAGACCGCTGAGTCTGACTTCGACTCTGGAACCGACGCCGACGCGTCACTAGACGGCGAAACGAATGCCTTAGACTACTCCGACATGCCCACGTATCTTACGGAAGAAGAACATGCTCAATGACTTTTTCAAGGATATCAGAAGCATTAACGCAGATGGAGACGTTTTATGAAGAAGCCAATTCGCAAGGTACGACGTAGTATCCGACGGGCACGTAGGGGAAAGAGTAAGGGTCGAGGCAGGGGCAAGGGCAACCGACGGCGATTGCATGGCAGAGGTATGTTAGCTTTCCCGGCATCCCTGTCTAGACCACAATATGAAGAATTATTCTTGGGTGCAGGCAGGGGTCGTGGGCGCACTTCAGGAAAGAGTAAGGGACGTCGGGGCAACCCGAAAGACGCTAACGGCAGAACAATGGCATATGACAGCTGCCATAGCGCACGACATTTTCGCCGTTAGTGCCCCCGAGGCGATGGGAGAGGCAGAGGTTCGTCGATGCATGTGGTTCAAATCAATTCGGACATACTGTATGTCGATTGGGAAACGTTGCTGGCCGACCCTGCTGACAATTCAGTGACAGTTGTTAACTTCCTGGCTGCCAGATATCTTAGCGTCCGCATGTCCCTCGAGAATTGCGCCGACGGAGCTCTTCGAGGAGATATGCGTTGGCCATGGTGAGAGCAACCTGGCAGACTGGCTAGGCATGCCCATCGCGTGGCAACCT